TGACGACGCCCTTGAGGTAGCCGTTGCGCTCGCCGAAGTCGAGGGAGCGGAATCGGGCCGGGCCCTTGCGGTGGTGGGTGTGGGACTTGAAAACGGACCCTGCTCCCTTACGCTGTGCGCGGATCACGCGGCCCATGATCGGCGGTGGGTGAGGTGTGTGAACTGTGTGTGGATTTGGGGCGGGGGATGAGAGGCGGCAGCTGAGTGAGAATGAGAAATGATGGTTGAGTAGATATAGGGTTTTTGGAGAAGATGAAATGAGGCTTGCCCTAGGGTTTGCTGGTGGAACAAATGGGCCTGTTGTAGTTGTGGCCCAATAGTGGTGAAACGGGCCTATAAGAATGTATCTGAAACACTACTATCCATTGACTTTTGAAAGTCTTGGAACGGGCCCAACAGTCTATTATTGAACTGGGCTGAATCTATGGGCTAAAACCATGCATAAAATAATCCATTAACTTTTGAAAGTCTTGAGAATATAATTTTCATTGGGCAGATGGTTAACACTAATACAATTTGCACTGTAAATGACTAAATGTTGCTATATGTTTGTTATGCACATATTTTTTTTATTTTTTTAATTAATTAAATAAAAACTCAAAATCTAAATTATAAATTAAAATACAAACTTGTTAACTTAAATATATATTAAAATTTTAAGTATAAAAAAAGAAAGTTATCAACCTTATTTAACATTATTTGATTTACCTATTATTGAACTATTATTTAGAGAAATGTCATTATGCACTATAAGTTAATAAAATATATATATATATATACAATTATGTACTATACATATAAAATAAATAAAAATATAGATATTAATTAAACTAGTTCTATCACTAATCCGATCAATTAACCATTAATCAAGTAGCTTCACCAATTCAATTTTCAGAACCTTTTTTTTTTAATAGCAACACAAAATAATGTGGAACGAGTAAACAATTTTTTCTTAATGAAACATCTCACTTCCCTTATAACTCTTGCACTAGTAGATAGCCGTAATTGCGTAATACAAATTTAAGACACTAGAACTCCCTTAGAGCCACTCCAGCGTTGCGCCAGATATGGCGTTTTGCGCTGGAGTAGCGATAAATTCTCCTCCAGTGCTGCGCTGAAACCTATCGCTAGAAGAGAGTCGGGAACAGTGTTGCGCCACATCTGGCGCAACACTGTTCATCGACTCTACAATTATTTTATTTTTTTTATTTTTTTTTTTGCTTTTTTGTGTATTATTGGTAAATTTTTGTATAATGTGTATTAGTAAATGTATTTTTTATATCAAATAATTTGTGTAATGTATTTTTGTTAAAAATTTTGTGTTTTTTATTTATTGATGTATTATAATTTTATTTTGTAATTTTTTAATATTAAAATGATACCATATGAATAAAAATTTAACACACTCAAACAAGTTTATTTCATTAAAATTAAAGTTTACAACACACATAAATCGTAGAACATAAATAAAAATAACATGATTAAAAATGACTTATGAAGCAGTCTCGTGTTGTTATACATAATTTTTTTTATTACTATTTGGGTAATAAACATTTATATAATATTACATATTAATATATAGCAAATTATGTTAAATAAAAATAATTAAAAGATATTTTTATTATTTGAGTAATTAACATTTTATATAAGATTAAATATACATATATACCAATTTATTTGAAATAAAAAATGAATAAAAAAATAATATATTTAATGTAGAGTA